TTTACACGGGTGGGTGCTCAATGGGGAGAAAGCGCCAGTCCCTACGCTGGCCTGATGAGTTGAAGACAGCGGCCATAGCAGGGTGGTTCAGGTGAACGAGTCACCTCCGTCTTGCCCCACTGTATTTTGATTGGAAGGCTGGGCGGGTGCTGCAAGCTTGAAAAGATAGTAAGAATTTGCAGTTGTATGCTACGAATAAGATGTCTGATCATAATGAATTGCTTTTTTGTCTTCCTGAACCAGAGTTAATAATAGGAGGATTGTTGTTGCTTCGAGCCTGGGGAGCTGTGGAGGGAGTTGCCCTGTACCAGCTGAGCTTCTCCTGGTGTGAAGGGACCTGCAAAGCCCACCCTCGTGCCTGCAACACCGACTCTTCTCGGATAGCAGAGAGAGGGGCTGACCTTCAGCTCGCGGCCTCCGATACCTGTAACCAAATATGTGGCTGACAGCGCTTTTATTTCCAACTGCAAAAACGATTAAAACAAACTCTGAACATGCTGGGCTTTTAAGTCTTGTTACACCAGTCAAATTCTCTTCATTTTTGCCAGGATAGCTTTGTACCTGCAAAAACATACGGTATCCAAAGATTTTAAAACTATTGTCTGCTTTAGATTTTTCCTTCAGCTATTGAAATTTCCACCTGCCCTTATGATGTGTGTTTTTTTTCCTAGGGAATCCTTGCACAGCATTCCTTAGGGAACTCGCTTTTTCTGCAGAGAACGTGCTTTTCTAAACAGGTCGTGGGTTTTCCTTGCAGGAGGAAGGGAGGCGAGAAACAAGAGAAGGGAAACAACATGATTCATAGCTGATGTTTACTCTTTGGTGGAGCTACCGGCGCTTCGTAATATGCGGTCATCGGACAATAAGCGCCGCAGGCTCCCTTGGTATTTGGGGAGGATTAGGGTTTGGTACTAGCAGGAGGGTCACAAGTGGGCAGAGGGCCAACTCTGTGCTCGGACCGCTGCAGGGTCACTATCCGCCTCCTCAGGGCGAGGATGCGGCAGGACAACGTGGAAAACTGCTTTTCCCTGCGTCCTGTCACCCACCATCGTCTTCCCCAGAGTTATTTTTCCCATCTTCTCATTCGGAATCTGAAGCTACACAAGAGTTTTCTTTTCCTGTTCCCCCCTCCGGACTCCCAGCAGGGCACCGACTTCTCTTTCCAAACCAAACCTCCTCTGGTTTTGCGTCCTGCATGCGATAAAGGTGACAAAGACGTGCCAGCTGCACTGTGTGAGCGCAGTTGTGTGCTGGGCGCGCTGGGGGTCAGAAGGCAAAAAAACCCTTGCAGATTAATTTAACGAGGCTGCACAGCCCAGACCCTTCCTGGGGATGCGCTGAGGCTGTGGGGTGTGTGTGCACCTGCTGGCTTTCACGAGCTTCGGAAACTTTGCTGGAAGTGGGGAAAATTGGGTCGTTCTTCATGTTGGTATTCAGGCGTCGTATAAAACAGAGATGGTTTATGCTCATGCAGAGCCTGTTTGCAGGCACAAACCTTAGAGGGCAGCATCGGCTTCGTCAGCCCCGTCCCAGCTCTCTCCTCTCATCCCAAAGCCCTTGAGTGGCACCAGAAAATGAGTAAAAGGAGAAACAAGTGTTTGGGGTTTATAAAGATACCACGTTTGCCGTAGGAAGCGTGAGGAAGGGGAAGGGTGGGGAATGTGCTCGTGATTAAATGCTTAATGGAGTCAGGCAGGAGCCCCCCCCAGGCTGAAGTGAAACTCACAGAAAATAGCTTTAAACCACCTTGATTTTAGGACCCCCTGCTCTGAAGGTGTGCAGAACGTGTCTCCGGAGGTGGCATTAAAAGCAGATGTGCCTCCATGGAGGCCCAGGTGTGAGAGGCAGCCGGGCCTGGCTCATTAAGGCTAATTACAGATTGTGTGCGGCTGTGCTGAGGTGGCTGTGTCGGAGGAGATCAGCCCGGCCAGGACCTGCTGGAGATGGGGTGCAAGACAGAGCCACCCCAAACCCCCGAGACCACCACCACCGCGCTCCCCCAGGGCTTTAGTGAGTATTAATTGCTTAAATCGTCGTTAGGAGCGGGACGGGGCTGTGTTGTGGAGCCGGGTTTGGGGTCGGGGCGCAGCAGCCGCTTGCTGTTTCTGTCGATCGTTTGGTTTTTCTCTGAAGCTCTTAAGATTTGCTGGTTGGCTGCCGAAATGTCACTGCTGGTAAATATATTTTTTTTTAAGGAAAAGATGTAAAAGGGTGCGAATGCGTAAATACTTACTTCAGAAAATCGCGGTGAAGCTTTGTGCTGATTCCTACCCCTTCTTCCACCATCGATTCCCGAAATGCAAACACAATGCGGGATGCACTTTACAAATTGCCTTGGAAAATTTATTTTTATTTGCGTGTTTTTATTATTTATTTAGTGGTGGGGAGCGGGTTTTCCCTGTGCACTGGTGCCGGGGGAAGGTGCCGGATGCCTTTTCAGTGCCGCCGTGCCGTGCTGTGCCCTGCCAGCCGGCAGGGAAGCCAAAACCTCCACAATTTAGCTGGTTTCTGTCAAGTTTGGAGCCTGGACGTGTCTAGCAGAAGGGAGATCGGCCCTTGCACTGAGAGCGGGGGTAATTCTTGTAGCGGCTGTTGTAGGTCCTGGCCGTCCTTCGGAAGCACTCTGCTGCCTGCTTGTCGCACTCGCAGGTCTGCCTTTGGCACCAGTTCCCGAGTCCTGGAAGAAGATGTGTTGGGGATGGAGGCGGGCGAAGGCTGCTGGAGGTGGGCTGCGTCTTTAGGACCGTCCCCGTGGCGTACGCAGCCCCCCGCATCGAGTTTGGGGTGTCTCGGGGAGTCCCTTACCGCTGGTGCGTGGAGCTACCTGGCCGCAAACCATGCGTGGCCCCGCAGGGACCGTTTAATTTACTTTCTCTACCTACGTGCGTATAGATATTTGCTTTGATCACGGGGAATTGTGTTGTTTTGACCCACTCGCCCTCAAACAACCGTGTTTGCTCTGGGGAAATGGGGGTGGCAGCGCCGGGTCCCTATCCAAGATGGGAGGGTCACCTCCGACCCTCAGGATTTGGTCCCCACAGGAGGGCGAGCCCCCTCCTTTGGGAGGTCTCCAAGCTCTAAATTTCACCGCAGTCCTACAAAAATCAATGTGTACACCTTTTCCTGGCACTTCACCCTCATTTCCACCCCCTTCCAAGCCAGGATGGTCTAAAGGACATCTCAGAAGAGAGGTCCCTCGAGAGCATGGATGGTTATGCCTTCCCACTTGGGACTCTGACCCCGCGCCATCCCTTACCGCAGGTTATCTGGCTTCTCTGGATGGAGTAGCGGTAGATGACCAGTTTGGGACTGCAGTGAGAGGACGAGATCCTCTTGTAGCAGCAGTCGTGGGCATGGCAGCACCTGGGAGCACAAGAGTTACAGTTGGGGCAGGCCGGGGAGTGGTGGGGGCGAAACCACAGTGGTGGACATCTTGGTGGTGCACAGCCCCCATGAGAAATGTTGGTACCCGTGCCCGAGTTAGGTGCAGGGTCGTGCGGCAGCCTTGTTCTCCTCGGCATCACCCTGGCGCTCGAGTACCCGTCCCACGGGAGCGAGGAAGGAGGACTCGCGCCTTGCCGGCATCATCAGCACAGCTCTCTAATTGCTTTCCTTTGCAGCAACTTTGCAGAACACCTGATGGTGTTCACTGAGCCCCGGTGGTGGTTGGATCCCGGGACGTTTCTGCCTATCGCTGCAAAGGCAGAAGAAAGGCCAATGCGCCCCGTTCCCATCAGCTACTAACCAACTTTGAAAGAGGTGTTAAGGACAAGCAATGTTTTTTTTGCGTCATTATCTGGAGTACTGCATCCAGCTTTGGAGCACCCCCCCATAGGAAAGACGTGGACCTGTTGGAGCAGGTCCAGAGGATGCTCCAAGGGCTGGAGCCCCTCTGCTGGGAGGACAGGCTGGGAGAGTTGGGGGGGTTCAGCCTGGAGAAGAGAAGGTGAAAAAGGGGAGACCTTATAGCAGCCTTCCAGTATCTAAAAGGAGCCTACAGGAGAGCTGGGGAGGGACTTTTCACAAGGGAATGTAGAGACAGGATGAGGGGGAATAGCTTCAAACTGAAAGAGGGGAGATTTAGATGAGATATCAGGAAGAAGTTTTTCACTCTGAGGGTGGTGATCCCCTGGGGCAGGTTGCCCTGAGAAGCTGTGGCTGCCCCA